TTGTCTTTTGCGAGCAAGTCCTGGGGACGCTCGCTATCAAGGACAAGGCAATAGTAGGTGGAGTCAGGGTTCGTGCGAGCCATGTGGAGGAATTGGTGCAGGGTGACAAAGCTTTGAGAGGTGGGAAAGGGGAGATAGGGGATGTCGATGGTTGTGTCAGGGGGTTGGTGAGGCAGAGGAAGTTGGGGTGGAATGCGTATGGCATTAGGCGATCCAGCCACGGTGTTCCCAAAACGATATCGCACATTAAGTGCATGACATCGAATGAGACCTGACTGCGGAGGGTTCTGACAGTCATGGTGGTCTCGGGAACCGTTCAGTCTACTACGACGGCGGTGTCTTTGTCCCTTAAACGAATCGTAATCGGGGAGTCGTAACCGGTAGAGGTAAGGCCGACTTTCTGGACATACGCGTCGATGATGAAGTTACCGGTGGCTCCAATGTCAAGGAGGGCCCGAAACTTAGTCGTAGACGCACCAAGGGTGGCGGCGATGAATTTGAGGTGAAAGCGTGATGAGTTGGCGCTGGAAATAATGGTGTTGAGGCGGCGTTGTTCATTGCCTAATCGAACAAGCCGATCGTGTTGGGCTTGTTCCTCAACAACATTAGCGAAGGTGGCATAGGATGGATTCAGAAGGAGGGTTGCGGAACATGTGGCGGTGGGTGGGGCGTCAGGCGACGAGGGTTGTGACGCCTGGGGGTCGTCCGGTGGGATGTGTGGCACCGGAGAGGGGGGAGGCAGACGTATTGTCGATGCCAAATGGGTCACCAGTGGGGTGGAGATCGTCACCGATGGGATGGCCGACAGACTAGTCGTCGATGCTGAGATGGGTGTGTGGTGACCATGGGGACAGTGATCAACTGGAGGAGGGCCCAGGAGTGGCGGATGCGGAAGTAGAGGGTTGGGCGGTCGCAGGATGGTGTGTGAATTGTCTAGCAAGTGGGCAGTTGGTTTGTTGGTGGCCTATCTGTCGGCACCGGAAGCATCCACCTTTTGCTTGAAGGTGGGCTCTTTCCTCGGGTGTAAGTTTCTTGAGGCGGCCCGGGAGGGTGGTCGGGGGAGGGTGGCTAGAGCGTTCTCTCTTTTCCATCCGCATGAGGTGGGTGGTAGAGAGTTCATTGGGAGAGAGCGACGTGGTGTCTAGTGGATCGGAGAGGGTGTCGGGGTCGGGGGTGGAGAACTCGTCCGAGGAGGTGGTGGAGGAGATGTCCTCGAAGGCGATGTTGTGGAAGAAGCGAGGGCGGGGAGGGGCCGATGTAAGTGGGGTCTTGTAGGGGGAGAGGACGCGGTCGATTTGGAGGGCACGAACGAGGAGGTCGGCGAGGGTCATGGGTGGCTCGCGAACGAGGACGACCGCTAGGTTTTTGCGGCATACACGCTTAACACGGGAGATGAATGTGATGTCGCTGACAATATCGATGGGGATATGTTGGCGAAGAGAGAGGCCGTATTGTACGAAACGGTCGGTGGGGCCGTTTTGTTGGAGTCGACAGAATTGGTCGATGTCGTCGTCGACCGTTTTCTGTGGACGGAAGGTGGAGGCGATGAGGGTGGCCCACTCAAGGAAGGTGTGAGGTCGGAGATTGGCGTGATGGTGGTTGGTCATTTCGGTGTACCACCAGCGGCACAGTCGAGGAGTCTGCTGCCGGCGATGGGGAGCCAATGGACGACAGGGATATTGTGGAGGGTGAAGGTTTGTTGAAGTTTGGCGAGAAAGAGCAAGACATCCTCATGGGGTTGTCCTGAGAAAGTGGGAATCTCGTTGGCGCGGAAGGATGGAGGGATTTTTACTACTCTGTCGGTAGTGGCGGCAAGGGCGTTGAAATCAAGGGTGGGAGCGGAAGAGTCGACTAGGGTGAAATCGTTGGCGATTCAAATTAATTAATGTTATTCGAGGTTAATTCGAGAATACGCCTTGGAGAGAAATTCAAAAGGAATCCGCGGGAGGAACTTGCAAAACGAAATTTTCCAAAATTTTTCGCTGAAAATACCGAAAAAGGGAAGAAAAGAAATAAGTAGTTTCGAAGACAAGTAAATTCCGATTTGGATTTAAATTTATTCGAAATTAATTTTGGGGTATGATTTTGCAAGAACACGTGAAATTTTTAAAAAAAAAGGATTTAAGTAAAATATTCCTGAATTTCAAGAAAGAATTTCGAAAAGAACATAAGGCATTTTTGAATTTTCAAGAAAAAATTAGAAAAGGGAATTTTATGAGTTTAAACTTTAAAATATACGAAAAAAATAATTAATTAAAATTATTTTCGAATTTTGAAAACGAAATATGGAAAAAGAATTTCATTAATTCCAACGTATTTCAAAATTATTGAAAAAGAAAAAAGTAGGTTCGAATTTCAAAGAAATGTCGAAAAGGAAAAGAGGTTGATTAATTCTAAAGTATTTCCCGATTACAAAAATTCCGAAAAAGAATTAATTAGAAATGTTTTCCGAAAAAAAACAAAGAATTTAAGTGATTCTGTGATATTTTTTGAATTACAAGAATTTCGAAAAAGGATTAATTAAAACTACATTCGAATTTCGAGAAAGAAATGCCGCGAAAGAATAACTAATTCTACATATTTTCGAAAGTTTTGAAAAAGAAAATATTTTGGAAAAGAAATGTTGAAAAAGATAATTAAATAAATATTTGCAAATTTACAAGAATTTCAAATGAATGATAAAAAAAAAAAAGGATAAATGAGTATTGAAGTAAATCGAGGGGGGAGCGATACTATCTACGATTGATTGGGTGGTAGCGTGGTAGGAATGGTTAAAAAAACGGGGGTTGCACGGGCAGATTGATGATGACGATGATGATGATGATGAGGGGGGACGTGGGGGGAAAGTCGCGGGGGGGGGAAAGAATCGGGTTCGGGGAATCACGCGGGTTGCGCGTGGGTAGGGGGGAGGAGGTCCTGGTTAGGGTCGGGGGTGGGGGCGGGGAGTCGAGATCGGGTGGAGGGTGCGCAGTTGGGGAGGGAGGTGGGGGAGTGGGGATCGGAGGAGGGAGTGGGGGA